TATCCCCTGGTTTGTTGTACTTAATTTGGCATACTGTTCAGTATTTTACTGTCAACTATGATTCTCACTGCAAATCAGGAATAATGTACCCGGGGAAAAACCCAGAGGGATTTTAAAAATGAATTTTAAAAAAAGAAGCCTTTACAGACTTCAATTCAACTTTCTGGAGATTTGGGAATTGAGCTGCATTTGCACAGCATTGATTTGTTTTCGACAAGACAGACCCCAAGTGTCTTGAGGTGTTTAAAATTATCAAAGAATTTGAGATAGTGCGCAGACGGACCAATTATTCCTCCTCTTTGGGGGAAGAGCCAGAAGCAAGGAGGTACACTCTTAATATTAAAAGGCCACACTGTTTGAGGCAAATCAGGAAGCACTTTTCCACCCAATGGAAAGTGAAACTCTGGTACTAAACCACCTCTCCTGCACCCCCCCTGACCAACATCCGCCACCCCTATAAAAGACGGCCCTGGATGGTGGCGGTATGTATAGTTCCAGGAATCTATTCGATAGATTGTCGTTTGTTGGAGAATCGGTAGGAAAGGTCAAAGTTACGATGGAAATCGATTACGATCTAGCTCCTTGGTAGAATGGACTGAAGGGACTGAATGGCCAGTCTATTCCTATGTGCTTGTCAGGCCCGATTGTAAGAAGAGTTGAGAACGGGCCGTTCTGTTGTTATTCACATGTACGTGTCAGAACATGACAGTATGCTGTGCCAATGAGCAAGCGCAGTGCTGACATACCCATGGTGCTTTCGGCTGCCAGCGTTGTGGCACTGCCACTATGGGCTTTGTCCTGGTCTGTCTGCGTGTGTGGAAGGGCTTTAGAACACAGCTTTGTGATTTCAGTTGGAAATAAGCGAAAGCAGCTCATCTTGTCTTTCAGTAGCTGGTCAGCCTGATCACCAGTTAAACATTGATATTTCTGCTGAAATGTGGGCAGGACTCTGAAATGCTATTGGCATCAGATTTTGTCTCTGTGTGTGTGTGTGTGTGTGTGTGCATGCATGTATGTGTATACGTGTGTTTGTGAAACTGTAGTTTCAGTCAGATATATTTTAATTTAAAAGAAAACCCTGATTTCGTCCTGGAGTTGTGTGAGCACCAAGTTTTGTTGAGTTTGTTCTTCCTCCATGTTCTCCCAGGTAGTTGTCCTAACACCAACGTCAGCTGGGAGAAAGGCTCCCCTCCCCTTCTCTGGGAATCATGCCAATACTGTACTGCATTCCCTACCAGTCTCTCTGCTTGGGAGGTGTGAATCTAATCTTGAGCAGAGTCAGCTTCAGCCGTTTATTTGGTCCCGCATGTAGAACCTGGGGAAAGAAAAAGCCAAAAGTCTGAATACTAGTTTGTACTTGCTTTTTTGAAGCGATGTTTCTCACTGTTCCCAAAAAGGAAAATTTAAATTTATATACAACTTTTCATAACCTTGGGGACGCTCCAAAGCACATGACAGCGAAAGAACTGTTAAAAACAGCAGCCTTATTTTCAAGATTATCATCCATAAACAGCTTTGTGAAGGTGAAGTTGCTTCAGTCCCACTGGACTGTAGGGCCACTCCCTCATTGGAGGGAGACGACTGGTGGTAGTTTAGCTAATCTGAGGGGTGTTTATGCTTTGGGCTGGGGAGAGGTCGGGAAGGAGAGACTTCATGGTGACCTCAGTCAGTGTTGATTCAATTCCCCAACTGTTGGTGCCACTGTGCATCGCAAACAAGAAATCCAGCCAACTGAGCTAAACAGCTTTGTAACGGTAATGAGGTCATCTATTTTCATGATGGTGGATCAGCGACAAGTATTGGCTAAAATCTTGCCCGCTCTTCTTTGCAATGTTCCCTCGGGATCTTCAATTTCTACTCCAGAGGTTTGATTTCGGTGGCTACTTCAGCACTGAAGTACGGGGGATGCCATACTGTCTGAGGTGTAGTGTTTCAGAGAGATGCTTTGAAAATGCTCCCCTGCCTTTCGACCACTCGGAGGTTGTAAAGGGGGTTAGTCCTGACCAGGTGAAGGTGCTGTTAAATCTTCACTTTTCCAAACAAACCCATCAATCAGAATTGAACCTCTGTCTGCAATCATACAGTACGTCCTTTTTAAGTTGTTCAGTCAGTGGGAAACGGTGCACAGAAGTTATTGATTTAAGCGGTTTCTTGTTAAAGATAAAAGCACTGGCAAATATTGGCTTATCCAATTGTTACTGGCTCAGCTGAGTCATCTTTTATTTGTAAAGCTCAATTTGGCGTGTTGTCCGTTTGTACATTGCTGCGACGCCTAATGGTAGACCTCACTGAAGAGAGTCTTGATGCTGTGTCGGAGATTGGAAAGTGCACAATCTTTGAATCTGAGTTGTGGCCACACCTTGAGTTCTGAGAGCCCCCCTCCCACAATCCCACGGACTGGTAGTCAAACCCTGCGGTAAAGAGTGGTAATGTACACTCCTTTTTAATAGTTTCATGGGATGTGTGCATCACAGTCAAAGCCATTATTCGATACCCATCCCAGTTTTCCCAGGGGAAGGCGGTGATGAGCTGTATTCTTGACCTGCTGCAGTCTGACCTTTGGGCTCTGGAGAGACAGAAGGTGAGTTAGTTCTCCATAGAGTTCCCAGCCTCTGACCTGCTGTCGGGGTGTGTGTGCGTGTGTGTGTGTGTGTGTGTAGCGGGGGGGTCACTGTATCAAGACGGCTGGCCTGTGGTAACCGACAGCAACGACTTAGTGCGTCAAACACAACGACACGGTCTGACATGTTTCACAGGAGTTTTATAGAATGGAATCTGACACTCGGTCATAAGCAAAGACATTAGATCAGAGAAACTTGCCCCGAAAAGATGGAATGATAAAAGCGAGGCAGCGAGGGAGGTTTGGCGATCGGGGCCTAGGGAACTAAAGCAGCATAGCCACCACTGATGGAGCAGTTAGAGTCAAGAGGCCAGACTTTGAGGAGTGCAGATGCCTTGGAGTGTTATATATCAGAGGAGATTTTACATGTAGGGAGGAACAGGATGTGGAGGGTTTTGGAAACCAGAATGAGTGTTTTTAACATCAGGCTGTTGGTTGAGCAGAAAGCCAGTGTAGGTCAGTGAGCACAGGGTTGGTAGGGGCCCAGAACTTAATGTGAGTTAGGACAGGCAGCTGAGGTTTAGATAACGTCCACCTGACAGAAGGTAGAGTGTGGGAGACCAGCCCCAGGATGTATCGGAATAGTCCAGGTTGGAAGGGAAGAGGAAAGGCTTGGAATATGTTTTCAGTAGCAAATCAGCTGAGACTGGGCAGTGACTGAGATGATAAACACGGCTCTGAGTTTGTTAGCACAACTCTTGATTGGTCGCGACCTGACGGTTGTTGAACAGACTCCCTCGCTCACAGGCCACTTCCGGGGAGAGGGGTGAAGTCGGCAGCTAGGAACAGAGTTTGGGCAGCGACCAAAAGCAATGCCTTCAGCCTTCCCAGTATTATAATGGAGAGATTTCTGCTTATCCATGAGCGGGTATTTAGAGAATCTGCCTGACAATGTAGCAACATTGAGGAGAACGAGAGAGAGTGAGGTAGAGCTGTGTGCTGTCAGTGTACACATGAAAAACCAAAGCCTTGTCTGAGGGTGATGTTGCACGTAGATGGGAAATAGTGGGGAACAATGATAGATAGTTAGTAACAGCTGCTTCAGCACTGTGGCATGGGTCCAAGCCTAATGGATGGGATTCAGTTCAGTAAAGATGGGAAAAGATTTGCGAAGTGACAAAACATTCAAGAACTTTGAAGAGGAAATGGAAGTTGGTATTTTTGGCAAGTAGAAGGGTCAAGGGTTTTTTTTTTTTGAAGGAAGAGTGTTGATGGTGACCAACTTTAAGGAGACTTTGAGGAGGACAACATGGAATCCAAAAGGACATTGACAATTTGGTGGAGTAGAGGATAGATGGGAAATGAGATTCAATGCAGAGAAGTGTGAGGTGATGCACTTTGGGAAGAACATTGAAATACACTATAAATAGGGGATACAATTACAGAAAGGGCGTACGAGCAGAGAGGCCTGGGTGTATTCGTGGACAGATCATTGAAGGTCGCAGGTCAGATAGAGCGAGAAGTTAACAAGGCATATACAGTGTTCTCAACTTTGTTAATAGGGACATAGCATACTAGAGCAGGGAGGTGATGTTGAACTTGTACAAGCCACTTGTTAGACCTCAGCTGAAGTATTGTGTATATTTGTGGGTGCCTCATTATTGAGTGCCATTGAGTGTCAAGGGGAGATCACTGGATTCTGCCTGTTGGAGAGGGTCATTGCCTGGCACTTCTGTGGTGTGAATATTTTCCATTTATCACCCCAAATCTGAATATCAACTGAGTCTGCACATGGACACAGTGTCTGAAGAGTTGTAAGTGTTGAACATTGTGAAGTCATCGGCGAACATCCCCACTTCTGACCCTGTGGTGTAGGAAAGGTCATTGACGAAGTAGCTGAAGTTGGTAGGGCCTAGGACACTATCCTGAAGAGCTCCTGTTGCAATGTCCTGGAGCTGAGACAATTGATCTGTAACAACCATAACCGTCTTCCTATGTGCTGGGTATAACTCCAACCAGCGGAGAGTTTGTCCCCCTGACTCTCAGTGACTCCGGATTTGCTGGGGCTCCTTGATTTCACATTTGGTCAAATGTTATATCACCATCTTACCAAATCAAGAGTACCTCGTTCTGCAGAAGGGTCACTGGACTCAAAACGTTGATATTGCTTTCTCTTCACAGACGCTGCCAGACCCACTGAGTTTCTCCAGCAATTTCAGATTTTGCTTCAAGTCTTCCACGGTTTTATCTCCATATATCTCTTCGTAATCCCATGGTGCCGTGTTTATGGAGGACGATTAATTTCTCAGAGAGAAGTAGGGAAATTGGAATTGGCTCTGCTTTTACCTGCCTTTTGGGCAGCGCGTTCTAGATCATGACAGCTCTCCAGAGAGTGGAGAGTGTGCGGAAATTTCTGATCAATCTGTCTGTTTTGTTGCAGATCGAGGAAGGGAGTAAAGCAGCTGCTGCAGGCAAACTGCAAGTGGGAGATGAGATGGTCAGCATCAACGATGTGATCCTCACTGGCTACAGGCAGGAGGCCATCTGCCTTGTGAAGGGCTCGCACCGGACTCTGAAGCTAGTGGTGAGAAGGTGAGGCGCTAAAAAAATCCGCATGGCTTAAATAACCCCCGGGCCATTCACCTTGGCAGCAGGCCTCTCCGTGTTTCAGAGGTGGCAGATCCATTTAAAGGCAGGAGCTCCCGCAAATGTGCGCAGTAGGCCAGGTGGCATCTGGGGAGAAAGAATGGTCGGGTTCGTAACATGAACTCTGTTCTCGAGCTTGAGTTTGGGCCCAGTGCTTGATATCCTTTTACAATTGTGAGTGGCCCATCGCATCCTAAAATAGACCAAGTATCATTTTCCTGTTTCCTGAGCATCCATCCTGGTGTCAGCCAATTTCCTTCTCCTGACATTCGTGGAAAGCCACGAATCACGATGACACGGCACAGTTGTGGTCGGGCTGGAGATTCTGGCCGTGTTCTCCTGACAGCAGAGATAGGTCCTGGAGGGAGACTTAATTGAGACTTTCAAAAAAGTCCTGAAAAATTCAAGTAAGCCAGGGCCTGGTAATGGCTCTTCGGAAGAAGAACCCAGAAAGGGATGAGGAGGAATGCTATTTCTTAACGCGATAAATTGTTACAGTGCGCTGTCTGAAAGGCTGGTGAAGGCGACTTCAGTAGCAGCATTGAGAATGAAAATTTGCAGGGTCAAAGGGAGAGACCAGGATGGGTAGAACTATTTGGTGAGCACTTTCAAAGAGCCACATAGATGTGATGAGATGACTATCTTGCCTCTGTGCTGCAAGGTTCTGTGAAGCGCATTAGTGTGCTGTAAAATTAATAATCTGTAGACAGCAGTCTGTATTTTGTTGGCAGGAGTAAAGAAATGCTGGTGAGCACTCCACGTTTCCATTTTTTTTATCCTTCTGGAACTTGCAAGAGTTTAGAAATTCAAATGGATCTGGGATCTTTTGTCTGTACAGGAACAAAGCAAGTAATTCTATTCCTTTTCAACCACTCAGAACAGTCGAAAACCAGGAGCTGCAAGTTAAAATAGTTAGTTCAATGCCAAATCAGGCACAGAAACCAAAATAAAGAGATGAGAACGATAATCAGGTTAAGATAGAGTTAAAAGATTCTGAAAGACAAAGGAATATGATTTAAGTTATTTGCCTTTTTAAAAATCTCCATCAGCAATTAAAATGTGAGGAAATGAGATCCCACATTTGTAAAATATGGTTCTAAGTACGATCATTAATTCTTAATGTGTTATTATGTATTAGCCGTGCTATTTCCTGGTGAATTTAGTGGTTAGTATGTCAACACAGCAGCTTCACACCTTCCATAAACATCAACGCCAAGTCCCAGTGAGATAATGTTATAGTGCGTGTTCTAGAGGAGCCATTGATCTTGGACCTTTAGTTGTGCATGAATCAATACCAGTAGCTTCTGACTGATGCACTCTTTAAGAATGATAAACTTACCATTACTTCCAGGAAAATATGGCCCCTGAATTAACTGTTGGGAGCAGTCACTTTTATATTCAGATGTAAATTGGACCCAGCTTCTTATAGAGTCATAGAGATGTACAGCATGGAAACAGACCCTTCAGTCCAACTCGCCCATGCCGACCAGATATCCTGATTTAATCTAGTCCCATTTACCAGCATTTGGTCCATATCCCTCTAAACCCTTCCTTATTCACGTACCCATCCAGCCTCAAATTGTACCAGCCTCCACCACGCACCACCCTCTGTGTGAAAAAGTTGCCCCTTTGGTCCCTTTTTAAATCTTGCCCCTCTCACCTTAAACTTACACCCTCTAGTTTTGGACTTCACTACCCTGGGGAAAAGACCTTGACTATTCACCCTATCCATGCTCCTCATGATTTTATAAACCACTGTAAGGTCACCCCTTAGCCTCCGACGCTCCACGGAAAATACCCCTAGTCTATTCAGCCTCTTCCTGTAGCTCAAACCCGCCAACCCTGGCAACATCCTTGTCAATCTTTTCCGAACCCTTTCAAGTGTTACAACATCTTTCCTACAGCAGTGTGAGCAGAACTGAGTGCTATAAATGTGTGACCATCTGGACCTTGTTGTCCAACTTGCTCTGTTCCTGAACAAACAACATGAAAGCAGTATCTTGCTGCCTGGCTCCATATTTGAATGTATGAAGTTACATTTGCTGGCTTTCTAGATACAGGCTGACCTTGACGTGGAAAGTAACAGTAATGGCACAATTCAAAATAAGTAATTTAAATGATTTGAACCTTGAAGCCGTTTGGATTATCCTCAGTATAAGAAAGGCTGTATGTAGACTAAAGTGCCACAATAGTCCCTGCAGTATATTGCAAGGTCTGAGCATCTTGTTAGGCTGCCCTCAGCTTGGGAGATGTAACTTTAGTTTAATATTGGCTGCCTGTAGAGATTCCCCATGGTAATATTCTCTCAGCACATTACACTCTCTGGTCTTATGGCTCGAGCCCCACTCCTGATATGTTGGCACATGGTATTCCTGTGCAGTCCTGGGGGATTGCTGCACTGTTGGAGTAGTCAAATTTAAGATGAAACCTTCAACCGAAGCTACTCTTGGGGTAGATGTGGAATATCCCATTATACTCCTCAGGGAAGAGCAGGTGAGTTCTCCTGGTTGGAAGGACAGGATTTATCACTCCGTCAAAATCATGGAAACAAGTTATCTGATCGTGACGACCTTGCTGTTTGCAGGAGCGTGCTGTGCCACGAAATGGCCACTGCATTTCCTACATTACACGTTTCGGCCACACCTCGCTGGCTGTAGAGTGGTTTGGGATATTCTGCAGTCATGAAGTACGCTATGTTAACGCAGGTTGTTCTTTCTAGCAGTCGCAGCAGAGAGGTTGCAGAGCGCTCGGTGACCCCGAAGGCAATTCATCGTCTGGAGCAGGATTCAGGTTCATTCGCAGGCAGACGTGGTGCCGAGGTTATTGGTTACATGTCCTCTTACCGTTCCCATTGAGCGCTTGTTAAAGGCTGACCTTTGGATTGTAAAACATTCATGGCCAGCAGCTGAGCTGCCGTGGTTACCGCGAAACAGATCCCGAACGCAACCCTCAATATTTTATCGTGTTTTTTGTTGGAGCCCTTCACAAAGCATTGACAGTTCCTGACTCGGGTTTCACATTGCGATGGTGATCTGTGGCAAGTGGCTAACAATTCCATAAAGGCATCCTGCTTTGTCTTTGACAGAGATCACTGTTACTCCAAAATCGGTGGGTTAGAGCCCTGCAGCTCCCCGGACGATGAGTGCTCCTTTGTCAGCCAGACTGCAATGGCTTAAGAGTAAGGCCCAGTCACCGCTGCCTCAGGGCAACTAGGGATAGCCAATAAATGTCAATGCTGGCCACATCCTGAGAATCAGAAACATACCAATCTGATTCTGTCCCATATTTCTTTTAGAGATTCACTAAGCAGTAACACCTTTGTGCATTTGTTTTGAACCAGTTATTTTGCACCAGAGAGTGGTGAGTGTCTGCCACAGGAAGCGTTTGAGGCCAAAACAGTAAACGTTTTTAAGAAGGAGCGGATATGGTTTTGAGGCGAAAGGATCATGGGGTATGGGGAGGTAGCAGGAACAGGAGACTGTCTTGTAATCATGTTGAATGGTGGAGCAAGCCTGAAGGGCTGAATGGCCTACTACTGCTCCTATTTTCTCTGTTTCTATGTTCACCAGGGGCTATAAATCCCCAGTGATATGTCAATGGGCCTGTTGGAGAGCTCTGTGTTTCATTGCTGTGTGCGTTCCATTGCGCTGAAATCTAATACTTTATGTAGTGAAGGCAAAGTCACTAATCATAGCCTGCCTTTGATATCACTGTAATGTTACATCCCAGATTCAACCTGAGTCGATGAATAAGATAACTAACAAATAGCTACCTGGAGGATTTGTGCTGTAGGGAGAGGCTGAATAGGCCGGGGCTATTTTTCCTGGAGTGTTGGAGGCTGAGGGTGACCTTATGGGTTTATTAAATCAAGAGTGGCATGGATAGGGTGAATAGCCAAGGTCTTTTCCCCAGGGTAGGGGAGTCCACATCTAGAGGGCATAGGTTTAAAGTAAGCGGGGAAAGATATAGAAAAGACCTAAGGGGCAACTTTTCCACGCAGAGAGTGGTACGTGTATGGAATGAGTTGCCAGAGAAAGTGTTGGAGACGGGTACAATTACAACGTTTAAAAGACATCTGGTTGGGGACATGAATAGGAAGTGTTTAGAGGGCTGTAGGCCAAATGCTGGCAAGTTGAGACCAGGTCAGATTGGGATATCTGGAGGAGTTGGACGAGTAGGTCTGTTTCTGTGGTGTATGACTGAATAACGCCTCCCGTCCTGATATGGTCTTTCAGGGGACCTTAACGCGAGGGGGGATGTATCTCTGTAGCACTTCTAGTGAACTCAGGATGCTTTACAATTGATGAAGAACTTTTGTCGTACAATCACTGTTGGAACGAAGGAGTTTGCCAGCTCCCATGTGTTCAGAGAGCATTTCCTTTTAAATATTAGTTAAGGGATAAATACGGTACTGAGCAGGGCAACACAGAAAACTCTGAGATAGTAGGAACTGCAGATGCTGGAGAATCTGAGACAACAA